TCTTTTGATCTGTTTCAGATATGCCCTTAAATCTGTCTAAACACGGCGCTTGAAAACCACTGTATAGTTAACAATATGCGTGTGTAATATGGTGCCTTCTCTTCCAAATATTTATAAATACGTGTACATGGTTAGCTTTTAGTTTCCTGTTGGTCGGGCCGTCCGAATTCTTCGGATCTTCACATGCAATGAACGGATTTCGATGATGTTTTTTCTATCTAATAGTTAAATTCTGCTCAGTCTGCGAATGACGGCCGCCTCCGAACGAAAAACGCGACCTGTATATTATGTAAATACCGCAAGGAACAACAACAAACAAGATGAAACTATTTTCACGGTTTTGCTTCCAATCGTATAAATATTTTTTTTTTGTTAATTGGAACAAATTAAAAATAATCAAAGAATTATTTATTTTTGTAATGATATCGGATTAGCTTTAAAGCGCATTTTATACAGTGCAATTATTTGACATCAAAATGTTTTTTTGACACAGTAAAATGTAAATAATGGAAGTACGTATATTTTTTTAGATAGAACCATCAACCATTGATGCGATGGATACACACATTAAGAGATCGACCAAAATGTAAATATACATAAAACATAATGAGAATTGTGGTACGTTTATTAAGCAGATGTAATAATTGTATATATAGTGCATTTACAAGAATATTTTTACTGATCTATTTATATACAATTCTAGTGCTAAGAGACGCCTTGAATATAAAGACATGGAAAAAATATATATATATAAATAATTTTATAAGCATATATATATATAATATAAAGAAACAAAAAAAAAACTGAATATATATATTTCTTAATCTACCAATAATTATTTATGTAATTGTGCCATTTTTTGCTATTAATAACTGTTCGGTTTACAATGTAATTAACGGTTCGTCCCCTTCTCACGGTTTCATGGGGAGTTGGAGAGAGAGAGAGAAACAAAATGTTTTGTGGAAGAGATGATCTGCGCGCTAGAAATTTATTTAATTTTAATTATAATTTTCGTCATTGTTAAGGTATATTTTATTTATTTCTTATTGTAATTATTAAATTTATTTGTTGTTCATCATAAATTCGTAAAAAATATTTCTGCAGCTTGGAATCTCTCGTATACCACTTGAAAATAACAAAAACAACAAAAATGAAACAATCGAATTGCAAGCTCCCGAAATATATTTAAAAATATATATATATATAACCTGGCACTTACTTATTGTGATATAAGTAAATATTTAAATTACTGAAAACTGATCGTTGGGAACAGTTAAAAATGACTAAAAAAAAAGCAACAAACTTTGTACTGATTTCTATAAATATTAAAAATATGAAAAAAAAAAAGAAGTTTTAGTATATATTTATTGATAACTGTTGATTATTTACTTGTTCGTTTCTGTTTTAGAGTTCTAGATGCAGACATCATTATTGCGATTGTGAATTGGTAATGAATTTATTTTAAGCGAACGATGACTTGTGTTTGTGTGGTCCTTGCACTTCGATTCACATATGAAGCGTTCGCAAAACTCGTTAAAAACGCATATTATTAATATGCATTTGTTACTCAGATGAAGGCTGATTCATTCAATTAAAGTTAGGAAGAAATCATTGATTTGTTCTTTTGTTGTGAAGTCAAGTCATATTTCTTAACTCTTTGAACGCGTATTACAGCAATATGGATAAGATCACAGGAATGTATTATACTTGCTGGATTCCCCAAACATTCAGCTTTCATATGCATTTATTGGATTCATTCTATGTATTACAGTTTTCGAGAAAATCAATGAAATGTGAAAACACTACTTTTTCGAGCATTTTTTAAACTTTGAACCGAATTACAGCCAAACGGTAAAACCACACGTAATTATGCAATACTTGCTACAATTCCCCAAACATTCAGCTTTCATATGCATCTTTTGGATTCATTCTATGTATTACAGTTTTCGAGAAAATTCAATGAAAAACTTTTTAAATATTAAATTTGTTTTTTTTTTTGTATGTGTTATAGTTTTCGAGAAAATCAATAAAATGTGAAAACATTAACTTTGAAAGCGAATTACAGCCAAACGGATAAATCCACAGTAATATATGAATACTTGCTACATTCCCCAAACATTCAGCTTTCATATGCATCTTTTGGATTCAATTCTATGTATTATAGTTTTCGAGAAATCAATGAAATGTGAAAACACTGCTTTTTCGAGCATTTTTTCAATTTTGACTCGAATTATAGCCATATAGATAAAACCACAGTAATAATTGAATACATGCTGCAAACGGAGAAAACCACAGTAATATATGAATACATACTACATTCCCCAAACATTCATCTTTAATATGCATTTTTTGGATTCATACTATATATTATAATTTTCGTTAAATCAATGAAATGTGAAAATACTGCTTTTTCGAGCATTTTTTCAAATTTCAATGCGCATTATAGACCAATGGATAAAATCACATAAATCTATGAATACATGCTACATTCCCAAATTCAGCTTTCATATGCATCTTTTGAATCCATTGAATCTATTATAGTTTTCGAGAAAATCAATGAAATGTGAAAACACTACTTTTTCACGCATTTTTTCAATTTTGAACGCGTATTACAGCAATATGGATAAGATCACAGGAATGTATCTATACTTGCTGGATTCCCCAAACATTCAGCTTT